TATGAGATTTCCTTTACCAGAATACAAATTAAATAGCCAACTGTTGTTTTATGTTTTTTGGTTTTTTTTTTTTTTTTTTTTTTTAATTTTCCACAAGACACAAGGACAGTAACAGGGATTACAGAGCATATGGGCTCCAGTGTGGGAGGGGAGACTATGTGAGAGTGCCATTTGGGATATGGGTATATAGATAAATAAGATTGTTGTGTGCATGAAATACACCCAAAAAAATCAACAAATAAAAAAAATGAGTTATATTTGAGGAAGAAGCATAAAAGTTTGCTCCATGTTAATTAGTAGAGGTGAAATACATTACCATTGAAATCTACCCAATGATCTCATATCCATGTTCAGGTGGATCTCAAAAAGTAACTGACTGTGACTAGTAATAATCAGATACATAGAGATTAGCGACACATGTCAAAATACTATGGCAATCAGATATTTTGCTGTTAAAAAACAATGATCTGCTGGGCATGGTGGCAGATGCCTTTAATCCCAGCATGCTGGAGGCAGAAACAAGTGGATCTCTGTGAGTCGAGGCCAGCCTGGTCTATTTAGTGAGTTCCAGAGTTCCAGGCCAGCTGGGGCTACAGGGAACCTCTGTCTCAAAACAAAAACAAAACAAAACAAAAAAAAATGATCAGTATGTTTACTGGGAACAGATAAATCAACTGATATGCAGTAGTTATCATACAGAATTCCTGGAGTGAAAATCATAGTACTGTTAATTTCACCTTCTGATTGGAATACAGAAGTAATTTAATTGTGCAGCCCCCTTAAACAAAAATGGTACTTTATATAATGTTCAGTTTCATCTTTTTCTTTTGTAGGTTGCCGTTTAACATTTAGATTATAAAAAAAATTGATAAATGGGGTCCTAGTTTTTTAATTTGTTTTTATTGAATTTTTGTGTATTTCATACAGAACATCTCAAACAGTCTTACCCCATCCCCACTGGCACCATCCCATACCACAGGACACAGTGAGTGAATGAGGCTGTGGGTAGTTGAGAGTGTAGACAAAGAAAATCTGCCAAAACAGAATGAAGTAGGAATTCGCATATCCACTATGTGATAGATGGGAACCTACTAAGAAATACTGTCCAAAGAGAAAGATGGCTTTTGTCACGGTGCAGTGACCACAGTCCAAGCCTGAAGGGCTTGGGGACCCCGACAGATAGAAATCAGGACACAGGAGATGCAGAGGTCTATGTGCTAGTGCATGTTTACTGTGAATCAAACCAAGCTTATATAGGAATAATATCTAGAATAACCAAGGAATAACTAAGGATACATCACTAAACAGAAAGTAACCAGGGAATAACCAAGGATATATTACGTTACTACCAAGAATACATTACTTCACCAACTGAAACTCTCCCAACGTTGACAGTATCCAAGATTCAGCTGCATAATATTTATAACATCTTAGATATAAGGTGTACTGTTTGTGATTACTCTTAGCAACTACTATAATTCATTATTTCTACATAGAAACCAAGCTATCAGTGCTGAGAAACTCTGGTGCCCATAAACTGAAACAGAACTCTTTGGTTATGTTTCCAAGACTGCCAGTTAATCAGGGGAGCATAGCCTGTCAACTCAGACCACAGAAGCAGAGAGCAGGGAAACTCCCAGGGTGGACGCATTCTTTCTCCAATGCTTAAGTCAAGGCAAGCTGCCACAGCCTAATGCAGCAATGGCTGTGCCCATAATAACAGTAGCTCCCAACAGGCTTTGAGGCTGGATTTGGGGATAACTGTTGTTGCTGTTTGTTTTGATATAAAAATATTACAGTTACAATGGACCAAGACAATTTGACAAGGGCAGCTTCACCATGTGATCTCATACCCCACTCTCTTGTACAAGGCTCAGTTCTTTGCTATTGATAATACATGAAATCCAGGCACAATGGCCTACACTTCCAATCCTAGCTACTTGGGAGGCAGAGGCAGTAGGATCACAAGTTTAAGAGCAGCCTGAACAACATAGCAAATTAAAGACCAGTCTAGGAGCTTAGTGAGGCCCTGACTCAAAATAAAAATTAAAATATCGTGGAATGTAATTCAGAGGTAGAGCACTTGCCTAGCATGTGCAAAACCCATAGTTTAATCCCCAGTACTACAAAAATAGATAAATAAATAAAAATGCATGATGTACTGGTACACATAGAAAAATGTCCAGTCAAATGAACTTCAAAATTATTTCACTTGCTCATTTGCTTGTCATTCATATGTTCACTAACACATAACAAAACCCTATAATTATTTGCAAAAGAAAATTCCTCACTATGTATTATAGGTTATTTTACAGTGGAAAATTTCTCACAATGTGTTGAAGAGTATTTAAATCCATTTCATAAACACTGTAACTGATTAGTAAAAGGGAAAAATTATTTGACAAAAGATTAAATAAATACATTAATGTCAATTACAAGTATTTTTTTCTCAGTAAGAAAGTGAATCTGTCCTTACTTGCCTTTCTTTGTTTTCATGTCCATTCCCAACATGGAGTACTAGTAACTGACCAAAAGTATCTGTATTTTTAGTTTTGTTTGTGGACATGAGCTCACACATCCATAGAGGCACACAAAGATTTTATAAGGATGGCTTACTACACCCATGCCTAAAGTTCTAGATTCCCCAAGAAATAAGCCATAGACACATGGAGAACAGGTATTTCATGAAAGAAATTATAAAAAACATTAATTTCATCAACAAAGAACGATAAAAAGTTTTGGAAAGCAGAACAAAAGGAAAGACAGACCAGAGTCCACAACTGGGTAGTGCCCTAAGCCTAACACAAGTGAGTGTGACTGCAGAGGATCAGGTCCAAAGCTCAAGACAAGACAAGCCTCAGAAAATCCATACCTGATAACAGATCATTTTCAGAGAGAAAGGGAGTGAGGGTGAGATGGGCATAAAAGCATTTTACATGTATGAGTGTATTGTCTCCATGTGTGTACGTGTACCCAAGTCATGCAGTGAGCAGAGGTGTCAGAGAACTGTGGCCAGATTCCCTGAAACTGGAATTATCAACATGGTTGTTAGTTGCCATGTGAGTGTGGGAATTCGAACCCAGGTACTCTGCAAAAGCAGCAAGTGCTCTTAACTGCTGAGCCATCTCTCCAGCCTCAGGAAGTCATTTTTTAAGACTCCTGCTGAAT